CTTCCCACAAACAAAAATAAGCAACTGTTTATAGTGCTTGTGATCCTTGAGTAGATCCAAAGTATTCCTTAATTTTCAAATAACCTTATATGTTGATGTTCTATTATAACAGCTACTCAGTTTCCGAACAACTGGAGGAAAGGCAAGCTGCTAGGTGCTGGTGCGTTTGGACAAGTCTATATGTGCCATGATCTAGACACAGGACGAGAGCTGGCAGTAAAACAAATCGAAACTGGCCTTTTAAACTCCTCTACGAAAAACGTAAGTTTGTACAAATGCTAAGAACCTTTTTGGTCAGTTTCAAAATATTTTAAACTTTTCTATTTGTTTCAAGTGTTGATGATCAGATTTGAAGTTAGGTCCCGTCCACACGTATCCGCAAATTTTTGTATCCGCAAATTTTTTTTACGGTTTCGGGTTGCGTCCACACGTGTCCGCAAATTTTTGTATCCGTATCCGCAACTTTTACGAAAACGGATACGTGTGGACGGTGAAAACGATTCGAATACGCTGCGTGTGGACGCAAACATTTTCGTATCGGCAAAAAATAATTTGCGGATACAAAAATTTCCGGATACGTGTGGACGGGGCCTTAGAAGCATGGTTTCAGGGTATTGCAAAAGAATGAGAAAAGAATTGGGGGAAAGTATAGAACAAATATGTAGGATTAGAAATTGAATGGAAGGGAACAGCTACAGTGAATGGGCAGCGGCAGATGTGAAGTAAAAACACCGCATGGTGAGACAGAAATACAGAATTGATAGTAGATGCAAATAATATGAAAACAATAAAAATAAGGATAAAATGTTTCAGGTGTATTTAAATGGACAGGAAGGACACAATAGCATTGCGTAATGAGAAAACTAAAATGATAGTGAATGTTACATGGAGACAGGAAGGGTAGAAGGAATCAGCTCAACTGAAAAGACAAAAACGCAAATAAACTAAAAGAACAGAAACGTAGAAAGAACTGATAGTGAAAGGAAGTACAGAAGTCGCCAAATTGTCTGAGGGCAAAACAGGGAGACAGGAAGTAAAAGAAAGGAAAAGAAAAAGAAAAAGAGTTGTGAAAGGAAGACAAGACAAGCACAGAAATCATTTGTCAAAGTATAGAGTGAAGGTAACACAGGGAAATAGGACGTCAATGTAAAGAAAGAAGAGGAAAATGACAGGATAGATTAGCAGCATAAGACAGTGGTAGGTAAAGTATTTAGTAATGAAATTTTGTGAAATGAAAAAAAAAGCCACATTTGATTTAGTCTCCTCAGCAGCCGTCATTAGTTTCCGTCCCAGTTCCTCACGAGGAGGGCCCGAGAGGATCTGGGGCCGAAACTAATGACGCTGGCTGCGGAAGAGAATACATTTGATTCATAAGGGATTTGTTTTGAGGAAGGGGAGGGAAACTTGTAAAATAAAAGAAACTTGAACATTTTACCAACATCATCTGAAGATCTTCATGTGACTAAAATCTGCACGGAGGTATCCCTTGCACCACACAGAAGGGAGAATTCGTTGTGGTTGCCTGGCTTCCATGTGTTGCTCTTTGTTAAGGCAAACCACGACGAACAGATATGTACAGCTGTAGCCACGGGAAGGCGATGGCATTGGTTGAAATAAACCATCAAAAACAATGATCAACCAATTGTAAAAAACACTTGTTCCATCTGCGTTACAACTGGTTTTTATACACACCAAGGTTTTGGATTTTTTATTTTGTTTCAGTTCTTGTTTAACTGAATGTAAACTTTTTTTTCAAAAACTTTTGTCATTCGTGATTTTTGTATCTTACCCACACATGAAAACCGATGAAAACTCGTACAATTGAATATCAAAATCTAGTAAACTCAAGTTTTCAAGCTTCTCGAAAAATAGTTAAAACTTTAGTTATGAAAGGAATAAAAGTATTTTAATGAAGAATTAGGATAAGAAAATTTTGTGAATTTTATCGGATTTTTTTTATTACTTTTTTGGTACGTAGGAGGTGAGGGCACTGGAAGGCGAAATCGGGTTCATGAAGAACTTCAGACATGAGAGAATAGTACAGTACTATGGCATGGAAACTACTGATCTACATATTTATATCTTTATGGAGTATATGCCAGGGGTAAGTAATCTGAAATAACATTGGATTGATTTGCTAAGACTATTTGTAATGTGCGTGTCAGCAATTTGTGTTACAAGTGAGAATGTTAGAGTACTCGCACCTACACGAAGGAAAGTTGAAAAGTGTAAAAATGCATTGTTTTCGTTAGGAAGCTCCCTCCAGAAACATAAATCACTAATGTTTCTGCACTTCTCCCCCGTACCCCCTCCTCCCCCACCCCACCATATAACCGCCCCCTTTAATTTTCTTTTTTATTGTATAAAATTACATAGCCCCGGTCTCGTGGACCCCTAAAGAACGTACCGCTCCCCATCCACTAGAATTTTGCCAACCCCAGTGGCTAATGAATAAAAAAACCTAAACTATGTTTTCGTTTTCAGTCATCGGTACATGAACATATTAAACAACACGGTGCGTTAAATGAGAGTCTGGCTAGAAGGTATACCCGACAGATCTTGGAAGGAGTCTGTTACTTGCACTCTAACAGAATAGTACACAGAGATATCAAAGGTAATCAGCTTCTGAAGATGTTATGTAAATTTGGATGTTGAAGTTTATGCTAATTCTAAGTGATAGCAGTTGAGGAGCTCACTATCATGGCTGTGTAAAATTCACAATACAGATGTGCCTTGACCGTGTAAAGTTGCAGCGTCCAAGCATTCTGATTGGATGAGCGGTGAAGTCCCCTGCTGAAACGACAACGGCACCTTCACGGCTGCAGTTGGAGTTATGAAGGTTTTTCCATGTCATATGCTAATGCTGTGACGTATGAGGAGGCATTTATGGTTATTTGTTGTTCCTCGTAATTCGAAACACCGGCTTCTATGGAAAAACTAACTTGCAATCATTTCTATAAGAGCAATGGGGAAAACAATGACGTATTTCAAATTTAATTTATCTGTACCAGTAGTGTTTTGTATATTAAATGATTACTACTCATACGTCACAGCATTAGCATATGGCATGGAAAAACCTTTAAAACTTCAAGAAGTTGCACTTAAACTATATATTTTTTTAGTGTTATTCAACATCTTACCCCATGTAGAATTAATACTGTGAATATTTTCAGAAGGGTGATAGGCACTTTAAAGATCACGATCATTTTCGTGCTTTGCTTTTTCTTAATTCAGGTGCGAATATATTAAGGGATCTCCATGGCAACGTCAAACTCGCAGACTTTGGAGCTTCCAAACGATTACAGGTAACAAGAAAGAAACCAAGATGACAGAACAGCGTTATAAAACACAGTTGCTGTCTCGTGCATTTGTAACTTTAAAAGCGATTTATAAAAAGGAATTTCAAAGGAATTTAGTTTTGGGAGGAACACTTTCTGTAACTATTAATCGTCTCTTGGTTGTGGACTTGACGACCTGTCAGTGTTGATCGTGATTATGTTTCTTTTTTACCTCATTGCTGGACGTAACATAATGAAGAAATAGAAAACGCGCGCGCGTGCTGTGTACATTTGTAAAGCACGCCGGGGTTGCCGGGCAGAACACGAGACAGGTGTTAGGAGAAGCGCGACGCGTTCTCGACACTTTTCTTGTGTTCTGCCAACCCCCAAATGCTCTATTTCTCCATACAGCACAGCGAGCAAGTTTTTTTTATTTCTTTTATAAAATACAAATTACAGTAACCGTTATTTTGGATAGGAATGACACAACTGAAAATGCGCGCGCATGCTGTATGCTCTCATAAAGCACGCGCTCCCATCAACATGAAAATCTTATAACAACAGAAACTCATTCTTATTTTCTTCTTATATATAGACAATTCGTAGCAAAACTGGTTTCCGTTCGGTGCATGGGACGCCTTACTGGATGGCGCCTGAAGTAATCAATGGAGAAGGCTATGGTAGGAAGGCTGACGTCTGGTGAGTATATTCTTGTTTCACTGTACACTAATGGCGTAGCGAGGTCTTGACCACAGGGGGAAGGGCCAATGTATCATTTTCCCGCCAATATACACGCGTGCGCGTTTCATGTTTAGAGTTTCCCGCCATATCCACAGGAATCCCGAATAACTTAATGAAATTTCGGTGCCGAGACACCAGGTGCAAAACAGAAACTCGTAATCTTATTTAAAGAAAAACTATCAAATCAATAGAAATTAGACTTATCTTTCTCAAAAAAAGAAAAAGAAAGTGTAGGATATTTAGATATTTAGACCGCAAGAATTATTTTCACTTACGATTTGTTATTAATTTGTTTGCGCAGGAGTATCGGATGTACAGTGGTAGAGATGTTAACTACAAAACCCCCATGGGCCGAATTCGAACCAATGGCAGCATTGTTCAAAATAGCTACTCAAAACACGGAACCCGATCTACCACCTGAATCTTCACAAGATGCGGTTGAATTTGTGCGCAATATTTTTACTAAGTAAGTCGTAAAGAAATTGTGGGTGTATGCATATGTGTAAAAAAAAAAGTTCAATGAACACAAAGATCTGTACAGGAAAATGGACTTGTAGGTGTTATTTGAAAGGGTAACAGGGTAGCAGGTCTTGTAATCATTCATTAAGGAGGCTTTGGGTAGTTTTAGTCTGGCACACCTAGCCGCATTGAAACGGCTACAACTTCGTCTT